TCCCTTAATATACTCCACACATCTACCTGGAGACTATGGCAGCTCTTGTAGCATCATGAAGCATCTCCTGTAGCTATACCATTTGAAGCTCTGACACTCGCAGAGGAACCCCAAAAGCTAACCCCACTACATGAAGTGAGTGTAGCCCTGGTCAGTGTGTTGCTGTCTCCAGTTTCCCTTTCAACCTCTCCCTTGTGCTCCCAACAGACTTTGACCAGAATAGCTATGAGAGAGTTGTTCTCCACAAGTTGCTGTGAGACATGAAAGTCATCTTGTGCCTGAATAATTGAGGCACTCATCTCTATCAACAGCCAGTTGTTTTCTGTATTCCTCATTAATCCATAGCAGCCCTATTTAAACTGATCTAATTAGTCCCCTGCAATCAAAGGCACTGGTTTGGGTAGAAGAACTGAAAAATGGGAGCTCACAACAGGTAAAGTTCTTGATCAGGATTATTATTTTTTTCAAATCAAACCCAAAGCTCGCATAATGAGGATTTCTGGGAAGATATGGTCTATTACATAGGAAAACCAGGTGTTCATCACAAATTGACTCCATCCTTCTCAGACACTTTTTCACAGACATCTAGAATCAGGATTTCTGAGCACATACAAGCCTAGCGTTAAGTTAAATGAAAATTGAAGAACTGACCTGAAAGCAAAGATTACCAACCTTAACTTTCAATTTATCGGAAACTTGCCATGATTTAAACACAGATTTGTCTGCTGAAATATAGACAGTTTCTACCTGCAGCTCTCGATTTTCTTCAGCGCGCTACAATGCGCAGGTTAAACTGAGTGTAAAGCAGTACACGTGCAAAATACCTTACACACCTCAGTGATACCTTAACTCACCACTTAGCACCAAGATACCCTGAGACACAAGTGAGCCCATCAGACATAACCCAACATCCACCAGGGTGAATGATATCGGCTATTCCGTTTCAAGTTTATGCAGTATGGTGGCAAAACAGACTCATAGCAGGAGCAAATAGATATTAAAACCAATGTCTGGACAGCAGAAGATCCACATCTCACAGATGACTTACGTATAAAAAGAGTGTATACAATGGCTATGCTGATCATTTCCTTAGGATTTAGAGAAATGAGCAACTTTAGCTTTACAGACTTCATGGTTGCTTGATCTCACTACAGTAAACAGCTCCATATTTTTCCTTTTCATGTTTTATCCTGAAGCAACAGAGCATTACATTAATTGACTTGTCTTATTAATTCAATAAGCTGCTTCCAAGATGAAATGCTTAGCTATGCTTGCTTGTTTTTGGCACTTTTTGGTTGTTGGAAAAAAAGCTTTAAGGCTAGAATTGCTCTGATGTTTTCCACAGTTCACTGAGTAATTTTATGCACTACTGAAGATTTGCCACATTTGGAATTACTGCAAACTGCTACTTTTTCATCATATTATAATTTAATTCACACTTTTAGTATGATAAGAAAACGTTTAACCATTTGCATATTAGAGAAGTGTATTTGTTCTGCCATAAAGTTGTGCTTAAGAATTCATTATAGGTCACTCCTTTCTAGGATTTACAATTTGGACATATGATGCATTTAGAAGATTAAAGATGACATAGAAGCCACCCCATTCAAATGAATTATATGCAAGAAAATTCAGGGAGAAAAAATTGACCTTGCTGTAAATATATAGCAAAAATAATTTACTGCAAACTTGAATAAGATTGAGAATTTCTTTACTATTTCAATAAGTTATAGGAGGGGAGGTGAAGGCATTTTAAACTTTAAGAAACTTGCATCCCAATAAAGACAGCCAACATTCCTTAAGGGAAAAATACTGATGTAACTACATGGATTCTTAGATTTCAGCTTCTTTAGGAAACATAAACTCTGAGTTTGCCTTTCAACTGGTGAAAAAGCTGACTCTTTTGTCTGTGAACTGGGTGAAAATGAAAATTCGTTTTTTCACTCAGCTTGTTCTTTTTCAAGAAGGATGGCCAGGCGTTGTCAATGTTCTTACCTTGGAAAACTCTCCTTCCATCCATTGACTGACTCTAGGCTGTGCCTATACGGTCTGTTTTGAAGCAAGGTAGAGCACGGTCGTGCCTGCTGAGCACATGGCACACACCTTGGGGTGACACAAGCATCTTTCAGCTTGTTAAGGTCACCCTTCAGCCGCCCTCTTTGGTGTCCCTCAACCTCTCCATGTCCCTCAGAGGGACCTGTCACACCGTGCGCTATTGCCCCAGAGGTAAAACTCTCCATTTTATTTCTTGGACTTGGAGTGGAAGCTCATGGTGAAGCCTCTAAGATGAAGTCTTGGCAAGGTAACTGTGAATTCTCTCCCTCCACCTTCATGCTGCAAGGGGCTGGGCGCACCTCCAGCCTCTCTGATGAGGAAAGGGGGTGAGTGAGCCCTCATCAGCAATTGCTTCTCACGTGTAGGTGGTACAACTCCCTAAATCCCTGCTCTGCTGCATTGCACTCACCAGAACCCTTACAGAGCTCCTGGAGATAGTACTGCATTTAGCTGCTCCAAGGGCGATGCCTGGCCTGGGCTGGGCTGCCACAGGGAGCAAGGGCTGGACACAAATAGAGTGAAAACCAGAATGCTACAAAAAGTAGTCAGTCCCTGAAGAGCCAGGTCAGTTGTTCCTACTTCTAGGGGTAGGAAGGCATGTCTGCAAAAACTGTACTTCACACCCTCCCTCATCTGCAGCAAGCAAAATTTTGTTCCCCAGCAATAAGTCTGGTATCTTTGTGCTCAGAGGTAATGTCGGTGATCGGGGCGGTGACTCCCACCAGCCCTCGTATGGATTGGTGCAATGGGTGACAAACCTTCTCAAGATGGAGCCAGGTACAATCACTGCTGCAGCAAAATCAATCTGGTAATCACAAGGCTTGGAGTCAAAATAAAGACTTTGCCTGCAGTGAGGTCCTATTTTTAAATGAAGGTTATTGATCAGGTTTCTGGCCTTAAGAAAAGAAATGAAAACATAATTTATGCCTAGAGTGACCGGTAGGTGTTTGCATAACAATTGATACCCACAGTTATGGTAATGCAGCTGGACACATGGCAATAGATCTTTTCCTTGAAACATTTTACCCTCACAGCCACCACCTCTAAATCTTCATTATGTGTCCCCATATTCTCTGCGTTTCAAAATTATCATACTAAGCAAAGCTCAATGCACTGTTTAAATGAGTAAGGAACATCTGGTAAGCTGAGACTGCTGGGACTCCACGGACAGATAAAGTTGTAGCACTTTTCCTCTGTACATGGAAATGCATTGTAAATTAAATCTACAAATCATCTGAAAAGGCACAGGTCAGAAAGGAGGTGGAGAAACACCATCATTTGTGCCAAGGTCAAATTCCATGCAGCGTAACTTAAAGTCAGTGCATTTTCATGCATTCAGTCACAAAGCATTGTAGTGCTCACTCATTATCTTGTATTTTAATGGTTTTCTAAAGATGCTTGTGACATCGTATTTTGGCCTTCACAAAATATGTGCCAAATATACTATAAAACTGACAAATCTTGTGAGTATGAAAATATTTCTCTCCCAACCCTTTTTTTTTCCTTTCATTTGCTTTAAAGAAATGTGAGATAATACTGAAATCTCAACCTGAAGCCTCCTGAAACTGAACCACTGCCTGCTGATCTACCTTGGTTAAAAAAAAGAACAAGTTGTTCACTAGGCCATCTGCCGTGAAACATAAATGTCTTGTAACAGCAATGAGCCGAGAGCCATGAACCACTTAGCCTAAGGGAGAAGATGTTTCAGCAGGGTAAGCAGCAAGGAAAGCCTCAAAGAGACGGGTGACGCTCCCTTTCAGCTCCAGCTGCCGCAGCGTTGAAGGCCAGCTCTCCACAGCCGGCTAAATTCCTGCACAGCCTGATAGCTCCTGCTGTGTCACCTTTTCACCTTTGCTTTCATGCAGAGAGATTGAACCCTTGGGAAGGTAAGAGTCACATTTGTCAGTGTTACTCTGTGGCCAGACATCCTCCATATCCCACCGTGCCAGGAGATGATGTTACCATACCTGGAGGTTATCACCACCTCCCTGTCAAAGACAATTTGCCTCCCTGATGTGCTGGTGGTTCTCTGGCATAATTTGTTCGATATACAGATTTCGGCATACTCATGTGTTGGTAGACCTGAGGGCCTTGCAGGAAGCAAGGAGAGGGCACTACAAGCTGATGGTACGATAATGTTTTTCAGACCAGAGCTGCATCTGGAAGGCAGTGATGCCGTCGATGTGACAGTCAGCACTGATACCCAGCCTATTGCTGTTATTCCTATCGCACATGAGGCCATGTGTTTGCAGAACATTCATGCACATTTTGGCTTTTGCCTTTGCATCACAAAGGGGCAAAAGGCACCTGGGAGAGCGCAGCCTACATCTCTGCAAGAAGTTTTACCACCATTTTGTGCCAAACGCCCAAAACACCCTTTATTCCATGTACAGCTGTATGTTAGGAATTACTCTGGCACATGTTACAACCACAGCTCAAATGTCAAATGAGATTAATATGAACTGGTAGGACATTTCAAACGGTTTAGTCTGGAACAGAGCTAACAACAAAAGAGAAGCAACTTTCAACACAAGGTAGGGTTAGCTCAGGTCACAACAGATAAGTAGCATCATTTTAAAACCCCAAAGGGAAAATTTAAGAAAACGTCTTCCAGAAAAATCCCTGCTGATGTTACCATTTCAGGAACAAGCAGCAGGAACATGACACCTTTGTCTTGTTCGTATAATAATGGTACTAATTATAGGGGAAGGTTGAGTGCTAATTGTTTATTGGGTGATCGGTGATATTCCCAGGTTGATGCAAAGGAAGAGGTTGAAAGGGGATAAAAGATTCTTTGGATTTCTCCTCTCAGTAAATTGTTTAAACAGAAGCATGAATAAAACGGGTGGCAGGACTGAATCTGCAGATGGCTCCAGTGTCAGGGAACATTTATCCAAAAGACAATAAAAATGTGACAGTCTGCTGTTTTCCCAGGCCATATAACTTCATCTTGATGACTGTTTTGAGATAAGACAATAATCGATATAGAAGGGCACACCTCCTTTTAGCACAGCGGTGGGCACCAGGAGAGCAGCACTGCCGTTACGGCACATGCTCTCCCGCAGCTGCCTGCCCGGTGCTCCTACTCCTGCTCTTCCTCCTCCTCCTCCTCCTCCACTCATCGTGCAGTCCCCCCCGGCAATAACATCCAGCAGTTCTGTTCCATCGTCCATCTGACTGCCCCAGCCTCTTCTTCCCACTGTCCCACTTATCCGCATGTGGCTCATCAATTTGGCTGATCCCTTTCTGGACCTCCTGGTGCCATCCATCCCCACAGCAGGATGTGCCAGCACCTCACTGTCCTGTGTGCAAAGAAATTTCCTTTAAAAAATCAGCCTCCCTCACCAGGTGCCCCTAGCCCTAATTCTGAAGGACATGGTGAACAGCTCCACATTGGCTGCATCTCCCACTATCATGATTTGGTAACACATGGCCATGTCCCTCTCAGTCTTCTTCCCTCCAAACCGAGGGCTCTCAGCCCACACTCTCAATTTGTGGCTGTGTCTGGGGATATATTTATTTTAAGCTACTAGCCCACAATCCATCTGAGGATAATCCTCAGCTTTGTGCCTGCAGATTTCTTAGCACATGCCCCGTCTCAGGAGACACTTTTCCTCCCTGAAGAAGATACAGCCCTTTTTTACCTACCACGTTTTTACCTACCCAACATGCAGATCTGTGATATGGATCACCAAAGTTTCCGTCCCTTTGAGCAGCGCTCAATGCAGCTGAGGAGAAAGGAGAGCAAAGATGCCCCATATCTGCACAAAACACATCTTCTGGCTCAGGAAGGTCTGACACTCATTTTGTACCAGCTGAGGGCTACAAAGGACGGTGGAGAATCACTCTGGTAGTTCCCTTATATGAGATTATCTGATATAGCCGATACTAATTGATGCCCAAGGGCAAAGTGACTGGTATTCACCTAGCTACCCTCTCGATGCCATGAAAAATAAGTCCATCCTTAGTATTTTCCTAGGAGAGAGAAATAAAGCTAGAAACAAAGTGCTTAAAAACCTGCATTTGTCAGACTGATCCTGTTTAATTAAACAGGAAATTGCAGGGCAACTAAATCAATCTTTACAAAGAAAAGCTGTTTCTCTGTTTACAGAAGAGAAGCTTGTGGTGATTTATCTTAAAGAATGTAATTGCCTAATGATTAATAGTGACCAGAGATAGTCAGAGGGAGGAAACGAGGAACAGGAGTGACTTCTCTTGGTGTCTGCCTGAAGCACAGCAGACCTATATGCCCCTGCCACAGTAAGTATTAAACAACAAAAATTTCCTGGTTTATACCAAGAAACTGCTGTTCTTCTTCTAGATTCTTCTTTTGATACAGAAGTTATCACCACTGGAGAAATCCAGATATGCTGGTAGATTTTTGGAGATTCGGGTCCAGATACGTATTTGGTTTTTTCTTTCTGCTCACAGTAATACAAAGTTAGATTTTTTCACCTTCACAGTTCTCATCTGAGCCCACTGCCTTTTTGCTCCAGTACTGTAAAAAAAAAATAGGTGTTGTCTGCCTGGGCTTGAGACTTATTTGGCTTTGCCCGAGTTTAGAGCAGAATTGGAGCTGCTGCAACACATGGTGAGTACATAAGATTGGCAAAAGCAGAAGAGATCTAATGTGCTGGTCTGCAGGCTACCTATGGCTGTCTGTTGGCAACCTACAGCTGTTTACAGCCTGCCTATAGCTGCCTATGCTGTGGCAGTGACCAGGGACTGGAGCATGCAGGGGGATGTATACACACATCTCTATATATGCATAATGGCACTGGATAGCGCCTTAAATCTGGATATATTTTCTTTACCACAGAGACATTATGAAGAAGCCAGAAACAGCTCTTATTGTTCCTAAAACCAGACAGGAATTAATATTTGAGGGACACTTGGCCTTCAGATAAATCTATCATCTTGCTTAAAAGGACAGGCTGTGCTTTTCATAACACGATCAGGGTCTTCTTGCAGCCATTCATCTCAGGATATCCTCAAAAATATAGATCACTGGTGACAGGATAGACAAATGAGCACGTCAGGGTTATTTTTTCATTATATTTATTTACTTGTGTGTTGAAGTATTCCAGCCTGACAAAAGCAGTGTGAGTAGACAGTGGGATGATTTGATTGTCCAGAGAACAGCTAGTTCGTGGATAGTTTCTAACAAAGCTGCTTTATTATACCACTAATACAGCACAACTTTCTGTTTTAGGGATCCTCACTGTCTCACAACGTCTTTTCATAAATTGCCATTCAGTTCTGTCATTGTCTACCAGGTTTGTGGTTTCCAAGAATAACTGTTGGATAATATGACTGCTTCCATTAAAAATAAGGGCTATTTTCAGAGTTCAGGTCACAGATTTGGGGCCCTTCCCTCTCTGAGACGTGGCTAGACCATGTCAACACAAGCCAATGTTCAACCTGAGCTTCCAGTTGGCACCACCATGTTCCAGAGGGGCCCAAGACTCAACGCACCTCAGGAATGTGTTGGTTTGAGGTGAGCTTCTGGCACTTACATGCCCAGACTGAGGAACAGGAGATGGACCTGCCTTGTGCTGTGGCTCCGACATGGTTAGGTCTCCCACAGGAAGCATGTCCCGAGGCTGCCCCACCACGACAAGTTGAACGTACGGCCGGTTTCCTGAGGTGTTGCTGTTGGCCTCCATCTTCCTGCTAAAGCTGAGCTGTGGTGCAATGAGGAACGCAGGAGAATAAGCGTAACCACACAGGATGCTGACTTTGTAACCTGAAGTGCCTTTATAGGAAGTCTTGAAAATTCCCTGTATATTTTCAGGAAAACCATAAATTTCCCAGGAGCTGAGAGGTCCCTCCCTCCCTAGGCTGATGAGTCAGTCTCCTTCTTGCCTATTCCCTTTTCCTCACCCCACCGATTTCCTGTCTTAACTCCCCAGTGTCCCAGCAGGAGAGTGAGCAGGCGGTCTCTCATCCCCTTTTCTGCAACCTGACATGGGAAACAGTGGGCTTTACGGCTCTATGGTACCTAAATGAGCACTGCAGTGGAGTGAAGTGTCCTAAATACTTCTGCAGTTCCATCCTTGGGGGTTACGTCCTGGTTCTGAATCCTGCCCTGGTGGCAGGACACCTGTGAGAGAGGCAGGAACTGAACCCAGATTAACTGCATCTCAGTGCAGGACCTCAACCGCTAAATACCGCTTTCTATTTCAAAGCATGTCTGCTCACAGCTTTCTAAGAGATAAATTAAATTTACTTTTCACTACTGATGGCTGCCCGGGCTTAGAAATGTGGATTTCTCACACAGACAGTAACATATACTACAACTGCAGAGTCCTGGTAAAACAGTAAGATATCCCCCCACCTCCAGGATTGCATTCTACCGTTTATCAAATACCCTTGAATTTAAAGAGGAAATAGATGTTGCCAGCACCTTCTGCAGGGAAGGCAAAAGGAGGCACGGCCAACTTGGAGGAGCAGCACACCTTGGCTGCTGAGCACCTAGCAGGGCTTACAAACAGCATTGGGAAGTGGGCTCTGCTCAACTGTATGTGTGTAATTCAGACTAAAAACACCCGATCACTCTTGTGAGACTGATCAAACAACTTGAGAGTTTGACAAGTCGTAATTCAATGTGAGAGCATCTGATAAGCTCAGTAACAGTGTCCTCTGCAGCCCCAAACACAAGTCCCATCACAGCCAAACACAGACGTGCCATCCTTGCTATCCCTCTCTCCTCACCAAGCAGGTTAACAGATGGAAACAATTGCTATTCAGCTGGAAGCGGTAGAGGTGAGGACAAAACAGTAACCTTTTAATGAGCTCTAGTTTTTGATTGCTTATGAGGAAATGCAGGCAGAGGTCTCACAAACCACTTAGAAAGCCCTCATTAGTGAAACCTCATGGTTTAAGCAAATGAGAAACTTTTATTATTACTCCAAGGTGGCTTGCACTGAGATGAAAGTTTGAAAGACTAGAAACGCCTCTGAAAGATGTGTCTTAAACTTGGCCAGTGTGTAAGAGGACTAATATTACAAGTGTTTCACTATTTTGCTGTTGTATCTGAACCAAAGCAACATACTGCTCATTTTTTCAGCTCAGTCGTGTTTCATCTGCACCTCCAGCAGGACAGTTCTGATCCTGAGAGTTAATGCTTTTTCCCTAGGAAAGTGCTTTGCTAGCATTTCAGTCCCTTACATCAAAGCACACGTTATTCTCTCAGCTACAAGTTTTTTCCCTATTTCCTTTAAATGACTCAAGGAAAATCTGCGCTCAGTCTGTTGCAGAAAGGAATCCATCTGGTTTTAACCCATAACCTTTTTGTGCTTTGCTGACCTAAAAGGCTGCTGCCTATAAGGCAGACTCACGTTTTAGAACACCTATCTCCATAATTTAGGGATGGTCATAAAACATTGTCCAAACACATCTGCTCTCATTTTCCATAGATCATTTACTGATTATTTATAGGTAGCATCCTAGCTACCTGTTTGATAAGTGCTTTCATTACTATGCCTCTGTATGAAGTTACACAGCTAGACTAATATCCACAGATTGCAGTATAAATTCCCTATTAAATCCTAACCCTTGTAATTACTCAATCCTAAATATTCCCATTTCTTCCTCTGTAGGTTCTAAAAATATCTAGCACATGAGGATCTCACAGCCACCCTCACTGATCCCCTGCCACCACTTAATTGAATTATAACAACATAAATAATCTGGAGGCTCTCTCAGAGGCACCCCATACAATTTTCAGGGATGCTGCCTGATGGGTGACCTATTTGGAGAGGTGCAGATAGGTTTGTCAGGATTTTCTTCAAGCTTATTATCTCCATATTCCCTGATGGGCCTTTGCTGCAAAAGCATTACCAAAAAAAAAAAAAAAGTGCTAAACTACTTCATTTATTAACAGCTAGTCCCAAACCAAATTCCCGAGGTGGAGAAATATTGAGCAGATAAACCTAAACTTCTAGAATTGAGAGCGCCAGGGCAGCAAAGTGTTTTGAGATGGGGACCTGAATTTTGCTGCTAAAGACCATCTTCAGGCGGTGAGTGGTTTATGGAGACTGTGCAAGGAGTCAAATGCAGAAGGCATTTATTGCCAAGTACCTTCTGGCATCCACAGACAGAATCTCTCAAAAAAAAGATTTCCACCACAAAGAGATGCTTCACATATACAGGCAGAAACATGGTTGCTTATCTGAATTAAAATTTCCAAGGGTATTAAGGCTAATCAGTTGGCAGCAGTGGGTCTGCACTTCAGGTAGATGGAGTGCTTGTGCTGTATTGTAGCCCTGCATCCACTCAGCAGAAGGCATTCAGAAAATTGCTCTTCTCTTTGCTTGCCCAGCTGCTGTATGGATGCCTGCCACCCTTGTAAGACAATAGATGTGATACTGGAGCAGTCTGCCAACCCGGCCGCAAACCCACAAATGCTATTGTATTAAGCAGAACTCTGAAGAATGGATCTATACAACATGCGCCTCCATTTGTTATCAGCCTGTGCAAGTTTGCAGATGATACCAAGCTGACTGGTGAGGCTGACACACCTGAGGGATGGGATGCCATCCAGAGGGACCTGGAGAAGCTCAAGAAGTGAGTCCATGTGAATCTTATGAGGTTCAACAAGGTCAAGTGCTGGGTCCTGCACCTGGATTGGGGCAAGCCCTGGTATCAATACAGGTTGGGAGACGAAGGGATTGAGAGCAGCCCTGTGGAGAAGGACTTGGGGGTACTGGTGGGTGAAAGGCTGGATATGTGCTGATAATGTGCGCTGGCAGCCCAGAAAGCCAACCGTATCCTGGGCTACATCCGAAGCAGCATGGCCAGCAGGTCGAGGGAGGGGATTCTGTCCCCCTGCTCCGCTCTGGTGAGACCCCCCTGCAGTACTGCCTTCAGCTCTGGGGTCCTCAGCACAAGAAGGACATGGACCTGTTGGAATGAGTCCAGAGGAGGCCCCAAAGATGATCCAAGGGCTGGAGCACCTCTGCTGTGAGGACGGCCTGAGACAGTTGGGGTTGTTCAGCCTGGAGAAGAGAAGGCTCTGGGGAGACCTTAGAGCAACTTTACAGTACCTAAAGCAGGCTTACAGAGCATGGTGAGCTGTAGGCAGTACAGGAGACTCCTGGAGTGCATGGAAGATAACTTCTTAAGCCAGGTAATAGACAGGAATTCTTATTGCAGCCTTTTAGTATTTAAAGGGGGCTTGTAAGAAAGATAGGGATGGACTTTTTAGTAGGGCCTGTTGCAACATGACAAGGGGTAATGGTTTTAAACTAAAAGAGGACAGATTTAGACTAGATATAAGGAAGAAATTTTTTACAATGAGGGTGGTGAAACACTGGAACCGGTTGTCCAGAGAGGTGGTAGATGCCCCATCCCTGGAAATGTTGAAGGTTAGGTTGGACAGGGATCTGAGCAGCCTGGTCTGGTGGAAGATGTCCCTGTTCACTGCAGGTGGGTTGGGCTTGATGACCTTTAAAGGTCTCTTCCAACCCAAACTATTTTATGATTCTGCAAAACGAGCGTCTTCTGCCATTCCAGGAAGAGACCCGGCCCCTGCTCGTGAAGGAACCTTTTCCCATCTGTTTGTTCCCCAAGAAGCACGTGCTGCTCTCCAGTGAGCTGGGCCAGTGTGAAGACCCCATCTTCCAACCCAAACTATTTTATGATTCTGCAAAACGAGCGTCTTCTGCCATTCCAGGAAGAGACCCGGCCCCTGCTCGTGAAGGAACCTTTTCCCATCTGTTTGTTCCCCAAGAAGCACGTGCTGCTCTCCAGTGAGCTGGGCCAGTGTGAAGACCCCACTGGCACCGAGCCTGACCGTGTGCCATTCAGAAGCAGCTGACCATACACGTTGAAGAACAACATCCATTTCATTGTCTGCCTGCCTCACCCCTCTCCGTTGCTTTGTTCTTGACCAGGTTCAGACAACTCGGTACATTCTGAGCCCACTTCTGCTGAAATAAAACATGTACATTTTTTTCCTACACTGATTTCTGGAGGGATGTGTGCACTTGTAGGACCCCAGCACCTTCTGAACTGACATGGCTGATTCTTTCTCTGTCAACTTCTCCAGTCAACCAATATCTCTCAGCCCCTTACAGCCTCAGCCCCAGCTTCTGCTCCTTCTTCTGCATTTTTCAGTACCTTTCATATTAGTAAAATTGAAAGGGGAGGGAGAAACTGTATTGCAGCTGTTTTCTTCACTAAACTGGAAAGCCTGTCAGCCTTGCCAGCATTTGTAGTACTGAAAGACTGGAGAGCTGACACCAGAGTGGGTAAAAAAATTCCCACGATAGGGAAGTGGTAACTTAAAAAAACACCAAAGAGCACCAAACCTTTGGTCGGTCACGCCTGCATTCTTGGCAGGAGGGTCTACCCAGAGCTTTCACAGCAAGGCAAGCTATCTACTACAAGAAATTCTTGCCCTCTCCCCATATGCATCATCTCTGATACATTCAGCACAGCATAAACATGCCCCCCAGTTAGTTTACTCACCCATAAACATTGGGAGTATTGGTGGCCAAGGTCCGATGCTTGGGTGTTCAAAGATTTCAACAATTTTTTGCCACAACTGACAACGGGCACTAATCTGGAGTAGCAAGCAATGAAAGAGTGGACAGGCAGCCAGGCAGGGTGAGCTTTCCCACAGAAACTTGTCTGGGCAGATGTGTGAGCATCACAAGGCACTTCTGAAAAAGAAATGGTC